TAAGGGATCAGTTTATATAGTGATTGTAATATAGAATCGATCCCTCACTTTATAACCACATTATAATTTCTTGTTTGATTATCAAATTTGTAATTAGTTATGCATCTACCTCTTCTCCCCCAGCTATGGGTTAATTAATCAGACTTGTATCACTAAACTATTATTATCTCAAAAAAAATTCTTAAAATCTAAAAATATTTTCTGGGTTTTATCTATTGCTGCCGTTGAAAGTGCTGAAATAATTTGATAAGCTGTAGAAAACAATTAGTTAGTCAGAAACTGTTACGAATGTTGAAAAAGTGACATTATATCTGTCAGGAGCAGGTTGCCACAAACCCATTACATGTGTTATATGCCTAAAAAAGCATTCACGTACAACTTCTACACTCAGCAACCAGTTTGTTGAAAGAGAACCCAGTTGATGAGTGTGGAGTGATTGTGTTTTAAAAATTAATATGATTTGATCAGTGCTGAATATTTATGAGTTTAATTTTTTGCTTTCTGCATAGATAATTCAATTTTCTGCTCAACTTACATCTCTTTTGTAAACCCATTAATCTACATTGTCATGGTCACTTGGTTTTACGATTTCAGCACTTTTTCTTTAGATATTTTGTTTTAAATATACACCAATTTTGATGCTTAAATCTTTGTATTTATCAGAGTCAGTAACAAAAATATAATAAACAGGCATAAAATCCAAGAAAATTTGTCTTTAAAGTTTACGTGATATTGAACTCTATTCCTTCGCAAGCATTAAGTGTTAATTTCCCCCAATTCTTCTTGAACACTTTTCTTTCGAATAAACAGTTATTGAATTCTATTACCAAAATCTTGCTAAAAAGATCTTTTCATACTGTTTGTTTCCACTTGCATCATGTCTTTTCTGGTCAGTATGTCAGTTGGCAGTAAGTTCTGCAAGCATCACATCATCATCTCGTGCTTCTGATCAGGAAATCAAATCTGAGTTTATATTGGTTTGATTGATTTGCCTTGATTCTTCCTTTTACGATTGGGAGGGGGTGTTATGTCTCCCCACCCTGCTGCTTAACAAGTTAATTTCATCTGATTGAACTGTGACTATTGATTTTTTTTTCTTCTCTTTACTATTCCCACAAGAAGACAGCACATTCCTGTCACTGCATGTATTTATTGAAGAAACAAAATCTTATTTTGACATTCTAACTAAACCTTTATGGGGTCACACATTTTATAAGGATTGGTTACAGAAGGGGTGAGACAGAGGGTGTGATGGCTCTGAGCATTCATATCAGGAGGGCATCCAACCAAAAAGTAAAATAAAAATTTAGTTTATATTTAATTTGAATAAAGTGTTTATTTCATGTTTCATCTGTTTTTATATATTTTAAATGTGTTTCTTTCTCACATTTCTCTGTACTTGGCCCTATAAACCCATCTACTTGAGTCTTTGGGGCATACAATCAAGGCTTTGAACCCAGGCATCACCAAACATAACCATGTCACTGATTGGTTCCTTTATAGATAAATAACTATGGCCAACATATAACACATGTTGATTTCTAATATTGGTATCAAATCTACTTGACAGGCTATCCTACACATGCAGCAGGAAACTTTTTTGTTTTTTAATCATATCACCAGTTGCAAGGCAGTAAAGCCACTAAGACACAAGGAGTGAGGAAGAACAAGAAAAGAAAGAGAAATATTAGGGAATTGGAAGACTAATCAAGAGATAGTAGATAACAATCAACATTAGATTTTTGAAGATCAAAGTTGGTTAGAAAGCATGGAGTCAGAAGAGAGTTCCACATTACCAAACATCTACAGAATCTTTAGAGAAGTAAAACAAGTCTGATGATGAAATGAATAATTATCTTGATAAAAGTGAAAATTTCTTTCTCAGAAATATAGGATCTGTGGCTAGTGTAAAAGATATCCACATGGAAAATAGAATCGGCAAACTGAGATCAAATTTTAGACTTGTCTGCTGCACTCATTTTTGCATAAATGTCCATAGCTCTGGGTGAAAGAGCTGGTTAGACTGGGTTCTCTAGCTTTGGATGGCAACCAGTTTTCAATACTGCCATTGTTTTCTGTGATTTATTTTTTTTTACTTGATTTTTTTATGACAATTTTTTTGTACAATAACAATTTTTAAAACTTGAGAATAACTGAAATTAGTTGTGAAATCCAGCAAAAGTCACTCATTAAATAAAAATAATTGTTTGTATGGAAAGTAAGCACCTATGTACACCAAATTGTCTTTAAATTAAGATGTGGCAGAAGAATTATTGTTGAACTTTTAAAAGGTACACTTAAATATTAAGGCAATACTTAAATGCAGCGATCAATTTTGAGTTCTTCTGTAGTTTATTGTTGCAAAAAGAAATCTCTGCCAACAGAGGATCAGATTGCAATCAAAAAACCCAAAGCTTCAGCAAGGAAAAAAAGTTCTGTACAAATGAAAACCCAGATCAAATGGCAGCCAGGAAAGCTTCCAATGATGAGAATATGAAAAGACTTAGGGACTCTAAAACACCTGAACAACTCAAATACCCAATCAAGATCCTTCCATGAACTACCTTAAATGCTGCCCGATAGAGTGGCTTTTAAGCTATATATATATATATATATATATATATAATGGGAGGAGGCACAGTGGAGTAGTGGATAATCCTCTTCTTCTCCCCCTCCCAGCTATGGGTAAATAGCAGGACAGACTGAGTTCTATAGCTTTGGATGGCAACTGGTCTAGGAGAAGTACAACTCTGAATTCAAAACCTATGAAGGGTCATTTGGGGACCTTGTTGCACATAGTACACCTTGTCTCTATTTGGCCCTTCAAAAAGTGTGGTTGGTTCTGCACAAAACCTTCACCACTATCATCAACTCATATGTGTTGCTGTCTGGGCTGTTGGTTCCTAGGAACTGAGCTGCTTGACCCTCATACATTGAACACAATGGGAGAATCCACAATATAATAGGAATAAGAACTAATGTGGAATGAAATTCATTATTAGCTTAAAAATGTTCTCTGTTTATTCGTATCATCTGCATTAAGATCAGTTTTAACAATTTAGAAAAGTCAACCGCACTGGCTTCTTTATTCATCAAATATTGATAATCTAAAACCACATATTTTGGAATGAAATTGTTTAAAGATTTTTGATGGACACAATTTATGATGAAGACTTATTCAGCTGCAGACATGAAAGATGAGCTTCTGTTATGTCAAGTTATGTCTCAGACAAACTTGGCAAAAACATTGTCAATTAACAGAAGTTAATATTGTGTTTATTTCTGTACCATGACTGTCTATGGATGTTGCATTAAGATATTCTTCTCTTTAACTCAACTCGCTGATTGTGAGTGAGGATGTCACTCAAACTCTGTGTGATTATGTTCCAGCTGGGAAGCTCTTGGAGATTCTGTCACATCAACTTTTCCAAAGGAAATGAGATTGGTATGATCTGTGAGTCATTCAATAAATATCACCAGTAATATTATCAGTTGGTAGTAATTAGGACAAGGACACTTGATCTCTGATCTGCTTTTAGTAACTTGTCTTTACAGACCAAATCTTCACAATTCACATTATTTTTGTTTTTTTATTAAACTTGAGAGAGATACATAGACACACACACACATATATATATATATATTCAGTTGTATGGATATGAGTTTGTGACCCTGGGTTTCACGCTTTTGTGATCATCAGACAAACATATATATATATATATATATATATATATATATATATATATGACAGACAAGAAGCTTTTATTTAGTTTTTTATACAATTTCTCATGCAATCTAATAATTTTTTTCTTTTCTGATGATAAATTATATAAAAACTGTCTGAATATTCTTTTTATCTGAGCACTTTCAGCTATACATTTAGCCATTTTCAAGATTGAAATATTTTAACTGTTAAATAAGAAATAGTGTGTTGCATGTATGTTTTATAAAATGTTTTCATTTTTCAAAACACAGTTAAGATATTGTGTCCATGTTCATGGTTGATATTATTGAGTGTTGTTTTTTTTTGTTTTGTTTTTTTTTTATTAATAAGGCTTCCATTATTTTTAGCTTTTTTGCATAATATATTTGTGTTGTCAACAAGTATGTTACGAATAGTGTCCGGTAGGTCTCCATGAATATTTAAATGAGATCTAATTGAGCTATGGTCATAAAGGTGTAGAGTGAGTCTGCATGTCAAACATGTTGTAGTGTGGCCTATATAATTAGTTACGAATTTTGATTGATCTTTAAATTTTAATTTGAATTGTATTCCTGATCAATCAAAATTTGCAACTAATTATATAGGCCACACTACAACATGTTTGACATGCAGACTCACTCTACACTTTCATCTAAGTTTCTTTCTTTCTTCAATACGTGTGGCATTCTTTAGATCAAAGTTGAAGCTGGATTTATTTCTGTTTAGAGACTAATGCATTTGATAAATTGTTGTGTATAAGTTCCTTTTTCTGTTCATAGAGAGATTTTTAAATTTCTGTGAGTTTCCCCAATTATTGTGGCTCTGATCAGAACCATAACAATAATAATTCTGAAGCAGGTATATATATATATATATATATATATATATATATATAACATCTCCTCACAATACAAGACAGGTAATTGTTGAGAGCCATGATCACCAACATTCTGAAGAGGCATGGCACAAAGAAGAAGAAGAGGAGATACTAAAGTTTTCTTGTTGGAGTTGTGCATAAAACTTGTGTACACAGTAGGTAGAGGTAGATTGCATGAAATAGGTGTTGACCAGACTGATATTCTTCAACAAAAGATAAAAAGGCAATTGTACTAAGAGAAATACAGGTTTCTGCATTATAATACTGAGATCAAGATATACAGAATAATGGCAGTTCGATCTATCAACACACAGCAAGCAGAATCATCAGACAAACAGGTAATTTGTTTGTTACCTATGCAGATTGGAAATCAAGTAAGAACTGCCAAATAATGGATCTGTGATTACCTTTTTTTTACCGATGACTTATTCCCTTTTTAGTACCAGCCACTTTGCCTCCAAAAGTTATCTTCTTTCTTCTTTATTTAGAAACACACCTTTTCCCACCTGTCTTTATACTTTTGTCTGTATCAGTCTGATGAATTGTTGCTTAAGTGTAGGAGGTGATGCAAGCTAATTTTCTCTGTTTATATCATCATCTCATGGTAAGAGACATCAAGCTATTTTCCAGCTAACTTGAGTACTTAATGACTATATATATAAATATTCCCCAGGATAAAAGGAATCTTTGATTTCTGATGATAGACACATTTAGTTTAGTAAGACTTTCGATTACTCAGGCCAGTAGACATCAATTACCCTGTTTAAAAAAAACATGAAAAATATTCCTGTCTACTCAAGCATGTGTATCCACTAAAAATAATGTTCATCATAATAATAAATAATTCCAGATTAAAAATACCATTAATTGCTTAAGAATGTATTGTTGTGTGTGCCTGTATTTTTTTTTCAATCACTATCACCCCATGTAAGGCAATAAAGCCACTAAAACAAAAATGGTATATAATCTCAAATGAAAAATTAGTGAAAGGTTCTCAGTCTCAGTCATTGGGTCAGATTTTTGAGAAATGGTATTTTGCCAGATTTAGTTTAATACAGAAAACCTTGTACTGTCTTCTGTCAGTTCAAGTGGTCACAATTTTCTCTTTAGCAATCAAGTCTTGTCTCTTTGCTTTGATGGAGTTGACTGTCTGGATTTAAAAATTCCAGATTATTTTACTCTTATAATTTTCTCAAACAGTTTGCCGTTGATCCTCATAGTATTTGCTAAAATGATTGAATCAAAATCATTTGTACAATTCCTATGGTACCACTGTTCTTAATCTGTCATGTCTACTTTTATATTCTATGTCTGCCAGTTTACTTATGATTTAAAGTCTTATATACAAAGGTAACATTTGCTATTTCCTGTTTTCTCATTTTTGCTTTCATAGAACTAGTAGAATGCTTATCTAACATTTAATATATAAAAATTTGCTGGGTTGTCTGCTCAGATCCTTGAAAATAAAGTATCTATAAAACTATTTGTTGTTTGTGAATATTTACAAAAAAAAAGTCATATCAAATAAATGTAGTTTTATCATTGATATCTACCAGTATGTGCCTGACCCAACTTAGTAGTTCTTGCATAATGGATAACTAATTTGCATATTACATAAAATTATGATCTCAAATGCATGCAATTTTACATTATTTACATTATTCGGACTATTGTCCTCCTCTTTGTTGCCATATTTATTACAATGAACACCATTGGAAAATTCGTAAACTTAATGGGTCAGCACAAATGCTAGGTCACAAAAATCTCCTGAGCTGACCTAGCATAGAAATGAATACAATATGGGAACCAGTAATAAGGATTGCCAGAGAAAAGCGATCATAACAACAAAAATTGCAATATGAGCTCTGGTAAAACCATGAAATGATAACAGCAAAAATTGCAATATGAACACTGGTAAAAAAAGGTTGCTGAAGACATTAGGTTTATAATACCCAGAAATTCATACACAGATGTTCTCAAGGACACATGGCACAATGGATAAAGGTGTTAGTTAGATCCAGTGACAGGACCCTAAAGAGTGTGAGTTCAATATCCAGCTAAGGCAGTGGAGAGCTTGGAGAGGGGAATTAACAGGAGATAACTGATAACTGGCATCCATTAAACATGGCAGTGAGCAAAATAAAGTGTTCAATTCAATATTCCATCTACCTGAAGAAAGACAGAGCATACAACAGCCAAAACATTGTAATAAATATGGTGACAAAGATGAGTCCAAATAATGTAAATAATATACATAATACCTCATCTCAGAAATATAGACAGATACATGCAATTTTATTATTTATAACTAATACCATGTGTCTTATATCTTGCCCAACTTAGCTTTTCTTGGGGATAAATAAAATGTGTCTTGTTATTCCTCTCCAATCTAGTTTTTTGTGATCTTCATAAAGAAGTAATTGCTTTATTTACAGCTTTTCTAACTGTTTAGTTATTCTTATGAAGTTATTCTTTGCCTTGAAAGTGGTAAGAACATTAACATCTGTAGGTGAAAGGTATTAACATTGACATCTTTAATAGTGATGCAAAATTCTCAATCTACTAATAGACTATTTACATTGTTCAGACTGTTGTCCTCATTTTTATTGTCATATTCATGATGTTTCGGTCATTGTACTGGTAGCCTACCATATGTTTTTTGGGGTGGGTGACCTATATCGTAAGTATAGACCTAACTCAGAATTTTGAGCTAAAAAACTTGAGGTTGAATTGTACACCGCAATTTATTGTAAACTGTTTTCTTAAGATAAATGGTTAAAAATATCTCTGATCAAGTGAAGCCTGTGGCTCTTGTTGAAGACCATCCTTCTTCGAACCTTGTGGACATTGTGCTACAGAATCACAAAGAAAGAACTGTATCAGATAGAAGACATCAAATCATTTCAGAACTTTCAACAGCAGCAACAGATTAAATGGATATCACATGCAGCTTGAACAAAGAGAAAATAACAACTTAATTAAAATTTTGACATTCCACATGACTTAAGATAAAAGGTTAGGAAGGAAGCTCCTATCAGTACTGGAAAGAGTAAGAACAGCTACTGGACTTGGGAAACCTATTTTCCAGATGATGGTTTTAAGAGAAAGATTTTATAAATTTTATCCAAAAGCAGCACAGGTTAATGAAGGCTAAATGTTTCCTCATAAGAAAACAGCTAATATGACAATTACCATATGAAGACTATTTTCATAATTTGCAAAATATTGCCATAGAAGGCAGCATAAGGTGAGGACCATTTTGTTGATGCCATCCAAAGTGAGAAGTGTCTTACTTGCATGAGTTTTCTATTTTGCACATGACACTATTCTTAGAAGTTGTTTGTATTTACAGATGATCAATTGCTTTCCATTGATTTTTTTCTCTCTCTCTTTCTCAGAGAGTTCTCTTTTCAGTCTCTATTTCTTTGTATCATTGCCTTTTCTCACTTTTGTCAAAGATAAAACACATATTTATCTCCCTTGCTTATTTTCTTCATAAAGTTGTCTTTTTTCTGTTGCTTTCCCAGTTTTTATTCCTATTATTTGTCATGCACTTATAACCGATATTTTCTGTAAGTTTTTTTTCAAATTCTTTTATTTATTTCCCTCCCTCTTTTTTCTTTCTTTCCTTCCCACTTCTTCTTCATTTCTTTCTTTCTTTCCTTTCCCTCTTTACCTTCCTTTCTTTCCTTCCCTCTTTACCTTCCTTTCTTTCCCTCCCACTTCTCCTTCATTTCTTTCTTTCTTTCTTTCTTTCTTTCTTTCTTTCCCTCTTTTCCTTCCTTTCTTTTCTTCCCACTTTTTTCTTTCCTTCCCTCTTTTTATATTTTCCTTCCATCTTTTTCTTTATTTCCTTGTTTTTTTTTTCTTGATTTCCTTAACTCTTTTTCTTTTTTTCTTTCCTTCATTCTTTTTCTTTCTTTATTTTCTTCTTTCTTTTTTCTTTCTTTCTTTCTTTCTTTTGCTTCTTTTCTTTCTTTCTTTCCCTCCCTATTTTTCTTTCTTTTTCATTCCCTCTCTTTTCTACCTTCTCTTTTCTTTCTTTCTTTCCCGCTTTCTCTCTTTTCTTTCTTCTTTTCTGTCTTTCTCTATTTATTCTCTACTTTTCTTTCTCCTGTCTTTATATTTTTTGTCTCTTTTTTTTCACCAGTTTGAATTTTGTACCTTTTTTGGAATTTCACAAATTTTTCATATTTCATTCATTTTCTTTTTCAAATCTTCACTTTATTTCTGTTCTAATCATACATTAATTTTTCTTTCCTTAATTTTATTCCCTTGCATTTTATTAGTTTTCTTCCTCCTTACTAACCACTTTTTCTTCATCTCACATCTTTTTTTCACTAATCAACTAACCTCTTTTTCTTCCTCTATTAACATATTAAACATGAGAAAGAAATATTTGTGTAAAACTTATCTGTGGTCTACATTCATAAAGCATCTCTTTGTGAGAGGTTGATGAAAAAGAAGATGTATGTAAATTTTCCACCAATTGGGCAGTTTCCTTTTTCTATGGAATCATGGGAATTAAAAATTTTTATTTTATTTCTCGTGATCGCGAGATCACAAATCATTCACTTAACTGTTTTTTTCATTCTAGTAATTAAAACTGAATGCTTTTATTAAAAGAAAAACAAGGTAGACAAGTTGTGGGGGCCTCATTTTATTATTGTATTAAATTTGATGACTCAAAGGATACATTTTTTGTTGTTTACCTGCCCTCTGCTATTATTTGTTTCAGATATATGTTGGAACCAAGATTTTTTTTTGTAGGATTGGTTGCCATGTTTTTTATCATCTATTTTATGGTAGGCTTTTTGGTTATTAAACTTGATTATTAAAAGAAAGAAATCTGAGAATTGTATAAATTTGATATTAAAATTCATTAATATATTCAAAAGTTAAATTTTAGACTTTAAAACTTCAGTGTATAAAAAAATGAAGTCCTTATGTATCAGACTGAACTTTGGAAAACTGAAATTGAAAATATTTTTTAAAAAATAATTAAAAGTTTTAGAAAAATAGATTTCTTTTTAAATTAAGTCCTTTTGTATAAAACTGAAAATTGAAGTAGTGCAGATTGTTAAAAAAATAATTTTATCAGGGAAAAAAAACTTATTTGATTCAGTAGAATCTTTGCAGAATTTTCCCAAAAACTTATATAAATTCCTGTTAGAATGAAACTGTTAGAATGAAATTAAAATTTTGATATTTTTACCTAAATTAAAAAAATAAATACACAAGTAAAATGGAATTACTGCATGAATTTTGGGATGAGTGATTATTAAACATATTTACATAATTTACAGTTGAACTAATCTCTTCATTTTCGTTGCTTTTATCATATTTCAGTCATTGTGCTAAATGATAGCATAGTAATTGTAAGTTTAATCTCTTGGAGAAATAATTCAGACTCAGGCTCAATAGAATCAGTAGTAACAGAATAAAACTAGATATTTCTCTATATGGATAGAGGGGACAAACTTTAGATTCATTAAAGTGTCCCTGTTGGAAATGTCCTGAAGTTCACTTTTGCTGACAGATTCCTGAAGAAGTTCATTGGGAACAACAGCTGAAACATTGTGGTGGTGATAATAATAACAGTAATAATAATGAAGAAGGGGGCATTAGTCTAACTGTAAATAAGCCAACTTTAAGTTTAAATCTTTTCTGAAATTGCTTGTAAGGCACGAAATGTGCTTACCTGCCATGAAGAAAAAGGGCAAATTTTTGCTTATGCCTCTGTGTTCTTTTATTGTTTAAAAAATACAATAACTCAAAGAACTTTCCATTCAAATCAAAGCCCAAGATTAAAAAAACAAACTAGACAGTTTTTGTTCTTGTATAAGAATTAATTTATGCATGAGTGCATTTTCAGCTTCCCTCTCAGCTTATATTAAGACATTCTACCTGAATGAATTACTTAAAAGAAACTTGTTTGGCAATTGGTCAGGTTTGGGCTTTAGATTAAAGGGAGACGTGTAAGGGTTTTTATATAAATAAGTAAATAAATAGGTCTTTTAAGTTATCTATGGCTTTGTTTCAGTTTGTTTTCTTTTTATTCTGAAGAATGGTTAAGTTTGTGTGTATTATTATCTATAAGTTGTGTGTGTGTGTGTGTGTATATACTTATGCATAAATAGACATATGCAGCATATATATTTGTTCTTGTAGAAAGTCAAGTTAGAGATGAAAGATTTTATATAAAAAAAAAACAAAACAGAAAACAAGGAAAAAAATGTTATCAGAGGAAACAAAACAAAACTCTCAAAAGTACATCCATTGTATAAAAAGGGAATAATGGAATAACATTGGATTTGTGTGTGTGTCTCTCCCTCTCTTATTAATGGTGAAGACGCAGTTGGAAACCTTCAAGAATAGTGAAATACATAAAGTTGTTATCACAGTTCAAATAAAATTACACTTTCATTTATCCAAAGTTATGTGTGTAGGTGTGTGTGTATCTGTGTAGGATAATACAGATTCTTGTTGATATAATAGCTAATATAGATGTATGAAAGGGATATATTTGTTCAAAGTAGCAAAGTGGTTGTTGACTACTGTAACTGTGTAGGACAATCTAGCAGGTAACCATAACGGACTGATCCTCGTTGTAGTGGTAGGCAATGGGCGTAGACAATAGGTGTAGTCAATGTACCTCCACATCAGTCTGTATTTATGGCTGACACCAGCTAATCATATTACTGTGAGGGGGAACTCAGGTGTATGCATATTCATTACATCAATATGTATATTTGAATAAAAATTGGAATGTGTGAATATATGATAAATATGTTGTGATGAACACATTCATTGCTGCTCTGATATTTACCATGATAATCTTAAAGTTGTGATTACTGTGTTTTGAGAGGATATCTCTGGTAAAACTTACTGAGCCACCCAATGCTATTTCAAGTTCAAGATCTGAAGCTGTCTCGTCTGAAGTAAACATTTTAGGGTGTATTGAAGACTGTCCTTCTTCAAACATCTGGGAACTGGTGCTACAGAATCACAAACAAACAATTTCAGCACCAGCAACAACAACTGGGTATATGTAAACTGAAGAGAAAATAATGGCCTAATCAAGATGGTGACCTTCCACACTACTTCAAACAAAAGCCTAGCAAGGAAACCCAATCAATACAGGAAAGAACAATAACAATTAATGAACATAAAAGATTTATTTTTTTGAAAAATTGTTTTTATAGAAAGATTCTATCAATTTCAACCAAATGTAGCATTGGTTGTTTGGTTAAAGAAAGCTGCCAAATGTTTTCACATAAAGAAATGGATAATATTACTATTTCGGCTTTGGCTATGGTATCATTGCCTGACAAGTCTTATTCCATCTTTAAACTGGATAAAAGCCAACAGTTTTCTGAAAGAAAAGTTAATAAAGGCAAAGGAAGAATAAAACTTTCTCTAATTTGTATATTGAAGTGATAGTAGTACTACACTTCTTCTTTTATGTACTGTGTCTCTTCAGGATGCAGGTGATCATGGCTCTCCACCTCCTCCTGTCTCTTGTAGCTCTCAATGTTTTGTCTTTTTGTTATTTCTCCCAGACTCTGTTCTGCCATCCACTTACATAAGCCTGTTAAGTATATCACACATTGCTTTCACTTGTCCCTCTTTCCCTCTATCCACCCTGTGAGTATCAGATTTTCCAAGCCCTCTTCTCATTATATATCCCAGAAATTTCAGCTGCCTCTTCCTGATGTTAAGTATAAATTTCCTTTTTGTTTGCATCCTCTCCAAACCCTCATCGTTGCTCACATGTTTGGTCCATGGTATCTTCAGCATCTTTCTGTAGAACCACACCATTGTTGTCTTGAGTCTATTCTTCATCTTTGAGGAGACTGTTGAACATTTGCTGCTGTAAAGGAAGACAGATATCACTTAGCAGTTCAGTACTCTTTTCTTTGTTACCAACAAGACCCTCTTGTCTTGTAATACATTTATTAGATTTTTGTAGTACAGTTTGTTGGAATGAACTGAAACTACCTTAACATTCTCTTGCTTTAAAAAATAAATTTTTCTCTTTTTTTTTTTTTTATGATAACTACCTTTCTGTTTTTTTTCAGTAATTAAAGGTATTGGTATGCAAATTTCTATATTAAACAACACTATAAAAAATGCTAACTTCAAAAAATTATCAGAGATATGCAGTTATCCAAGGACACATTAGTCTAGGGACACAATTGTCCAGGGTTCAAATGTCCTGAACACAACTGTCCATCCACCTTTTTAATACACACTGATTTATTTATTTATGTTCTCTTAGTTGTTTAGTAACTACATTTTGAGCATTGGACATCTTCATTTGGTAACGTTCTTGGAATTTTTAATTGAACCCCTTCTTTATTCTTCATATAATAGACATTAATTTTTTTCTTGTAAACAAGAGTATTAATTTCCATTCTATGGACGATAGTTGCTCCCCAGCATAAGAATTAAACTTAGATCTTCCTGGTTATAAAAACTAATGCTTTGTTGGATTAACCTGTCTCCCCTGCTTGTTTAAATGGGTTCAGCCCAAGTAACTCAATCTAGTGAGGGAAACACTTTCAGTTGCCTTGTCAGAGTAATTTGACTGAGTAAGAGAAGGAACTTAATACTACCAGCTAAACAACATTCATGTTTGGGCACTTCAATGTGGTGCAATGGTTAGCAAACTCATCTCACTAGATCAATTATGACTGAATACTGAGTTTGATCCTCACTGGGTACCCCTCATGCATTCAGCCTTGTGCCACATCTAAGCTATGCTTAGAAAAGCTTTTGGGTACCTTGACATGGTGTTATGGTTAGCAAGTTTGTCTCGATAGAACAATTATGACTGAGTAGAGAGTTTGATCCTCACTGGGTACCCCCTATGCATTCGGCCTTGTGCCACAATCTAAGTTATGCTTGGAAAATCACTAAACTGCATACATGACCTAATTCTATTCATACATGGTTGTTATCCTGCAGGAGAACGTCAGGTAGTTGAAGTTTTATGGGCGGGGGGGAATGAGTAGCAACAGGTAGGGAATTAGAAAAAGTTTATTGCAAAATAAACTGTTACAGGTTATCAAATATTTTAAGTTTAAAATTACAAAGTTTTAATTATCCTCTGCAGAAAATTATTGACAAAATTTTTTTTATTATTTTTTCAA